AAAAAAAAGTCCATTAATCTGTTCCAGCAGTGTTTACTTGTAAAATGGTCCTGGGTACCCACAGGAATATCAGTAGCTTCAACTGGCAGAACAAGAGTAACGATGCCCTTTCTTAGCCTCTGTTTTACCTGTTTCTCTCCCTCTGAAACTGAAAGGCATCTAAAGGCATTAAAAACTAGATTAAAAGGAAGTTAATGGAGACCTGTTTCTTTTTCTGCACCTGGAGGCAACCTGGAGTACTGCTGTCACCTCCATGGGGCCAGCTGCAGTGTGAAACCCGGACCAAGCAACCATTCCCAATGAGTGCTTCATGTGCACAAAACCAGGGGCTGCCAAGGCACCTTGTTCTTGACATTTCTGCATCCAGAGCCCCAACCAGATGGCTGTGGGCCAAGCTGAGTGCTCTACAGTCTCTTAAAGTCTATAAAACTGCATTTCCCTTCCATTAAAAAGGAAAGCACTTCCATGCTGTGTTTCTGTAAAAGTATCAGAAAAGCTAATGTCTTCTCTGCCCTCCTTGTTTAATATTTTGTGTAAAAAAATCTGCCTGACCTCACTGAGACAGTATTTGAAAGGAATAAGGAAAAAAAAATCCAAAAGCCCCCAAGTCCTGTGGTTTAGCCAAACAAGCTGGATGTCTTGTTTATTCCAATGTCTCAAACACTGACCCTGCAACCCAAGAGAAAAAAATGCTGCTCTTTTCTTGTCTCCGCTAGTATCTGCAAATTGACGCTTATTAAAAACTATGGGGACATAGGGAGGGAAATAGAACAGTGGCACTGTCTCATGGCAAGCCGTCTCTCTCTGCGAGCTCTGGGCTGAGGTCTTCTTCATTCAACAGCTGGATGTTTGATTGACTTCCATAAAGTCCCATCTGATTCGCAAAAGTGGCAGATCCTTGTGGCCAAACTGCCAGCTCAGCAGAGCTGCACCAGTTTCCCAGTGCCTTCCTGCTGCTCTTTTTCACCCTGCATCACGCTGCTCTCCTGGAAAGGGGAAGCCTGGGCTTGTGGTCACCACGCTGAGCTAGGAGGTGAGCGTCTGCCACAGGGTCATTGCCTGACCACAGGCAAGTCACCTCATTTCTCTGTCATTCGGTTTTCCAGCTATAAAAGGGGGATAATAATAGTCCTGGGCTTTACAGGGGTGAACTGAGGAGAACTTGCCTGCTCTTTAAGCAAGGTGTTTAGAGGGTAACTTCAAAGTAAAGCTAATAAACACGAAAATACAAGTCACCCTAGCAAAGCTCTCCTTGTGCATTTATAGTGGCTTGGGAAAAGCATTTAAATTTGTTACGTTTTCCTGACACAGTTCATCACTTTCCTGCTGCAGACCTTCATGCATAACAGGTTCTGTGTTGCTACCTGCAGCAGTCAGCAAATGAGAAGAGGTTAAATAACTCTTCTGACATGGTAGGGAAAAAAAAGAGCCACTTTTTGGAGCTACTTCTTGAGGTAAAATTTGCCTGGCATTGATTCTAGGTAGTTCCCACCAAAAATTACAACGTATGGATGAAAACAACAGCAGAGTTCCCCTGAGAATTAACCTGTCAGTGCTGATCTTTCTTCCCCAAATGCATTAACACCAGTGGAATTTCCACAAGCTCAAGGGATGAGACAGATCTTGGGTGTGCCGATGCTCCACTGGTACCCCCAGGCTACAGAAGAGGCCTCACTCAGGAGCCTACTCG